GGCATGACAGTGGCACATTCTGCCAATAAGCCCAGGAAATTCACAGTATCTATTTATCCCAGTAGACACGAGCCTCTTATCCCCCTTGTTGTGTCTGGCAAGTACATGGGATTAATTGCACAGTCTCCAAAGAGGCCGGACTATCACATTTAGCTGAGTGCACTAATAAAAGGATTATTATTTAATGGTTCAACCTCCTTCAACTCTCCTTTATCCTGCCTCCCTGAATTGGAGGACAAAATTAATGAGGCTGCTGTGACCATGCCCAACAGCTTCTGTTTGCCACCCTTTCAGCAAATTCTTTGCTTTTCTGCACTTCCCCCTCAACTCCGAAGTCACTTTTATTCTCCAAGTTGATGCAAAGATGGATTGTGACAATAGTTTGTGGGTGGCTGTCAGAATTGATGGTGGTTTGTGTGGGAAAATGCATAGCAAGTTTGAGAGCTATGGTTAGGATTCCACATAGAGTCAATTAAAAAAAAGTTCTACTCACAAGGAAAGGTCAAGCTGAGAGTTTTAATTATGAGGCTGTTATAATATATATATCATGCTTGGATGATCTGGGTTTGAAGAGTTGCAAAATTATGCAATATACTCAACTCTAAAATGGGCATAAAAACAATGTGATGTTTTGAGGGAATGACTTAGAATTTTGCAAAGAAGGTAATGAGGTGAAGTGAAAAGGATGGAGTGTTGAGTGACCTGGGTTCCACTCAGGCCCAGCTCATTCACCTCTTTGGGCCTAGCATCCTCACCTGTAAAATAATGTACAATTGGAGGCTTTTAAAAAAACTCTGCTACTAATAATCACTTTATAAGTTACCTACTGGAATTGTAATTAGCTCCATTTTATGGAGAGAAAATTGAGACTCAGAGAGAGAGATTGAGAACATTGCTTAAGTTCACACAGCCAGCAAAGTTATAGCCTGTAATAACTGACTCCAAATCTTGGGTTCCAGACTATCAGAGTTTCTACATACCTTGAAGACAACTGGAAAAAATTTAAATTGTGCACCATTTTCTAGATGAGGATAGTCCTTAGGAAATCTCCAAGGACTTGCTCAAGGCCATTCATCTAGTAAATGGTGGAATGGGACATGAACTCGTGACTGTCTGACATCAAAGCCTAAGCTCTTAGACATGGTGCTGGATTTCCAGTTATGATTATTAATACATCCATCACTGTCTCAAAGATGTACGGAGGATATGATCAGAAGCGAATTCAGATTTATACCCAGTAAACTACCTAATTTAGGATTATAGGGAACAACGTTCAGTGGTCTTAAATTCTGAAGTATATCTGCTAACCAGGAGGCAGGTGGAACTCTGGTTTTATTCTAGCACCCAGCACAATGTATAAGAAAGATGTCCTCTTAAATGTTAAATGTTTTAACCAGCATTGTGCAATTTGGAGGATATCATGCTTAGTGAAATGAACCAGGCACAGAAGGAAAAAATACTATATGATTTCACTTATATGTGGAATCCAAAAGAGTCAAACTCATAGAAGTAGAGAGTAAAATGATGGTTGCCAGAGGCTGGAAGTAGGTGAGAAGCAGGGAATGGGAGATGTTTGTCAAACGGCACAAAGTCTGTTAGATGGAAGAAATAAATGTTGAGATCTATTGCATAACAGGGTGAGTGAGTCAGTAACAATGTATATTTCAAAATAACTAAGGTAATAAATTTCAAATTTCTCACCACAAAAAAATGATAAGTGAAGTGACAGATGTGTTAATTTAGCCTGATTTAATTATTCCACATTGTATACATATATCAAAACATCACATTGTATCCCATAAATGTATACAATTATGATTTATCAATTAAAAATAATAGTAATAAAAATCAGCATACTGCAATTGCTTGAACATAGATGCAAATACCAAACACCAAGTGCGCACCATATTAGAATTTATTATAATACAAACAAGTCCAAACACAATATATAATCTAATTAAGAAAATATGAACATTTGCTTTTTTTCTATGGTAACTTTCTATTCCATTCTTTGAACTGGAATAGCCAACATTAGAGTCTTTTATTCACGTCTGGTAGGCTCCCCATGTTGAACCAGGAGGTACCAACTGTGCAAAGTGATCTTTTCCAATAGCAGGGTGTTCGCAACACACAAGTTCATGCCCACTCCGGTCTGTCTTTTAAGGTTTGTCTGTCATTCCCCTCATTTCCTTCCCCATGAGACATTTCAGCCATCAAGTTGTTCAATAAAAAGACACAGCATGGTGGTGCGTATCATCATTGCAATGTCCAACCAAGGACACAAATCATGTAGCAAGAGAGAAGCTAGTTAACCGTCTTTGAAAGAGGCACCACAAAAACCCAGGATAAGGCAATTGCTTTAGTGCCACCAGCAGCAGCCGTTTACATGACAGGCTTCAAAATTCAAGGCTTTATTGTTAAAACTGGCCTGAAAGAAAAGGCTTACAGGTTTTTAAAGTTTTAAAGTCAAAAAAACCCATTACATGATGTCCAAAATTATTACTATAAATAATAATAAATTAAAAGTCCTTAGATAATTTGAAATAAATTTTAAGAGATATGTATCAACCTAACCCAATGGGCATTCATTTGCATTTTAAGCAGAAGACAGCAATTCACTAGAGTGCCTTTGAGAATTGGACCTCTTTTAAATATCATTTAGCAAAATATAAAACATATTCAGAGGAAAAGAGATCACAATACTACGTGGTAGAGCCTCTCTCATCAAGAGAAGTAATAAATTAAAGTGTCAGAGGAAAATGTTCCCAATGCACACCCAGTTTCTACACATCAACAATTAATTGTTACATACAATTAAAAACATGGAGCAGAGAGCATGGAGAGTCACATACATAAATTTCATTTTATGTACGTTCTCAAAAAGGAATTGCTTAACCTTTGTAGATATTGCACTTTGACTCATTCATGTATAGCTCAGACTAGCATTTTTCAGAGCTAGGTGTTTAAAAAATAAATAAATAAATATATTTATATATATCTATATATATTCAGTATAGGTAGCCTTTGGTCAATGTCCATTCATGAGGGGGCGTGGTGGAATTGCATCATATACACATTTAATGAACACATGTCCAATTACACGTGCTTGGCAAAAAAGAGACAGAGAGAAATGCAATTTAAGGGAGGTGAGAGAATCTGCTTACCATTCCACTCAATGAGCATACGCCCTGGGGAGCGTGGGAGATGGGAGATCTGTCCCTCAGTCAGACGACTTCCATGAACTTCTTTCAGTGGAAGCATCTTGATGCACCAGGGTGGTCCTAATGTTCTCAGATACATTAGAATCACACAATATGGTCCCTAAATGAGAGCCAATTTTGCCTTGTCATCAACCAGATAAACAACAACTTGTTCCAGTGCTAGAGAAAAACTTAGCTGTGTTAGGTTTTGAAAGCAATGGAATATAATCTCCAACATGGCTGTTTTTTGAGGATCTTTTGCAAAGGTAACTTTGGCTCTGTAAGGTTTTATCTTTTGCACTGACTTTAGAATCTAATCCTTGGCTCTGATGAGATTCTATTGCAATCCTTTAAAAGGGGTAAGAATTAGGATCATCAGGAGTAATATAACCTAAGTTTATATTGAACTAGTATTGACAGCATTGGCTGAAGTTTAGGGTTTGTGTTGCCATGGGGCCTTTTCTTACCCCATTCATTTATTGAAAATTCCCTTAAAAAAGATAGACATGTCTTTCAACTTAGGGACCAAATGCAGTAAAAATCCAGCCTGAGGAACTAAATATTTCAGGTGGACTGTCTGCTGTTTGTTTGGTCACCAAAAATATCATGTAATTTCAAAGTCATTTTGGCAGATTTATTCCAAAACAGGAATGAATTCGAATACTGGGAGTCAGAGAGAAGTTAAAAAAAAAAAAAAAAAAAAAGCTAAATAAGAGGAATATAATCGTGTGTGTGTGTGTGTGTGTGTGTGTGTGTGTGGTGCACACATAAGTAGCAATTTCCAGGGATGCCCCTATTTATTACATCCTAGAAGTGTTCTTGCCTTGGACAGGCAAGGGTAGAATAAATAAACACACTTATATTTTATCATTTTACAAAGGATCTGGGTTAAATAGCTTTACCAAGAACTGGCACCACCCTTTTAAGCCATGTGCGTCAAAGGGCAGACTAGGCGTCAGCATGGGCACCTTTTGTGTCTGTGTTTGTGGCGAAATGGCAATGCCAGCTGGGCTGTGAGGCAGAGCTGAGAACACCTCCTCTCATACCCGCAGAGCTGCAGTTCCTGACCCTTGAATATTAAATTCAGTTCGGAAGTCACTTCAAATAAAACAATTTGGTGAGGGCCTCAGCAAGCAAGGAGGCAGGGTTGGCAACTCGACAGGCTTGAGCTTCTCTAGGAAGCTTGAGTGATACCATAACAAGAAGCAATTTTGAGTAACGGGATTGTATGCAGCTGACACAGGAATGGGTTGAAACAATGGCAAGTGTGGGCTTATTTTTTTGTTTTTCTGGGCTCAAGAATTCCTCCTTTCCCCCTGCGCACCAGGCAGGGTCTTTGTTTTGGAGGAGATAGAGAAAATCTATACATAATGATAAATAGAAAACTGCCTCTTAGACCCCAGGTTTGAGGTCACAGCTATGTGGGTTTGGAGATTTCCTGAAGCAGCTCTGGCCAGAGTTTGGGTGGGATCCAATACTCTTCTATTCCCACAGTGTCATTCTGAAGCTAGGAGTGCCAGGGCCACTTCAAGACCACAACCCTCTCTAGGACAAAGGGCACCTTGAAAAAAATCCTGAAACGGTCATTATTGTTAGCTCCTGGGAACAGCACAGGGAAGTGATGAATGACCTCAGCTCTTGGAAGAAGAGTGCAGGCTCAGCTATGTGCTACTGGGGTTTGGTAAGTCACATAAACGAAGGGTTCCCAGTGACTGTGGATGGTACCAGCGCAAAATCACAGACTATTTCTCTACTTTGTGTCCTAACTGGTCACAGGATGATGACACAAGCTCCAATGGCATCTTCAAACTGGTAGGAACTTTCGCTGTCAATGCGAATCTGTGGAAATAAATGCATAAGTAAAAACAAGCTTTATGCTCTCCTTTCTTCTCTTCCATCTCTTCTCATCTACCAGTCTGAGAATTGCCCAGTCTGCCAGAGACAGGAAATCAGATTAGCACTCTTAAGGAGAGCTGCTCAGCCGTAGGATGGGACACCTTCCCATCTGGAAATGGATTAGACAGAGGCAGTAGTTGCCACACCTAGGGAATCACGGGGATACTTTTATAGGTTTTCCATTTTTGTCATACTGGTACACCAGCATCTTGATGCAGTGTGAGTTTGCCGGTGAGATCCAGGGGCTACTTGTTATGGAAAAGTTATGATTGGTGTAGAACTGTACAGGTTGCTTCTGGCACTTGAAGAAGGCCTTGAGCGTGGCGGCTGCCATGGTGCGGAACCGCTTGCTGATGAAGCAATAGAGGAAGAAGTTGATGGCTGTGTTCAGAAGGGCTAGCATGTTGGCAATGTCGGACATGATGTGCACCAGCCAGCGGTTCTGGATGGGCGCCCCATAGAGGTGGTAAAGAATCATGATGATGCGGGGGGCCCAAAGTGTGGCAAAGATGGAGGTAATGGTGAACAAGATGGCAGTGGTCTTCCCCGTGGAGTAGCCACGGAGACGAAAATTGCTCTTCCTCCTGAGCTTGTACACAATGATTGAGTTCAAGATGAAGAAGATGGAGCAGGGCACCAGGTAGACGGTGAAGCAGTGGATCCAGATGAGGACGTGATGCACAGAGGTGCTGATGTAGTCTTCAGTCCAGATGTTGGGCCACCAGTAATAGGGGATGCTGGTCAGGAAGCAGGTGATGTAAACACTTACAATGACTTTCCGGGTGCGTGCTGGGTATGAGACCGTGTGGTACTTGAGTGGGTGGCAGACAGCGATATACCTGTCAATGGTCAATGGAACAGTAATCCATATGGAGGTGTGGATGGATGAGAATTCCAGCACTTCTATGATCTTGTCGGGGACTTGAGGCATCTGCATGTTCAAGATGAAATCTTCCAACAGGAAGTCCACAAACACTATGAAAAAGAGGACCAAGATGTCGGCAGCAGCGAGTGCCAAGAGATAGTTGTAGGAGGATTTCTGCCTTCTTGCCACCAGCTGGGAGAGGATGATCACTGTCAAGATATTTGCTGTGGAGAGAAGAAAAACTGGTTTAGCTCTGAAGCAAAGATGACTTCATTGGCTCCTATTGGGGCCCTAGGCATATGTTTATTGTTCACTCCCATGGAAGTCAAAATGATTGAATCAATGCTTTTGAGGGACAACCTTGGCATTACAAATAGCACCTCATACAAACACGTGGATACTATTTTAAAGTTGTGCTTATATTCTAACACAACCATGAGAGGAGGTGCCCCCATTCCCCTCATCTTAGAAATGAAACTGGGGCTCTGAGAGCCTCACACAGCCATGAGAGGAGGTGCCGCCATTCTCCTCACGCAGCCATGAGTGGTGTTGCCACCATTTTCCTCACACAACAATGGGAGGTGGTGCCACCATTCTCTTCACACGACTGTGAGAGGTGGTGCTGCCATTATCCTCATCTTAGGAATGAAGCTGGGGCTCTGAGAGACTCACACAACCATGAGAGGTGGTGTTGCCATTCTCCTCACACAACCATGAGAGGTGGAGTCGCCATTCTCCTCACACAACCGTGAGAGGTGATGCCGGAGTTCTCTTTACACAACCGTGAGAGGTGAAGCCGCCATTCTCTTCACACAACCGTGAGAGGTGGTGCCGCCATTATCTTCATCTTAGGAATGAAACTGGGGCTCTGAGAGTTTAAGCAACTTGCTTAGAATCACACAGTTGATAATTCATGGTAATAGGATCTCCTGATCCCACATCTCATGCTCTTTCTTGTGTTCAGTTGCATGAAGAATTTGGGGCTGAGGTGGCATTTCTTGCTATATGTGTTCGGGAAACAGACTGGGCCATATAACCTCTTAAGAACCTCTTCAGAGCTTGGATTTTAGGATCTTTCCTTTTTAAGTAGATTTAAAATTGGAGGTGCAGAGAAGATTGTGACCTTCAGATTAATTTAAAAATAAATTGCATTTATTTTTGGAATAGGTAATCTACATACATATACATAATCAAAAATAATAACAAGGAAAAGTACATTTTCCTTCTACTTTTGTTCTCCAATCATCAAAATTCCCCTCCCTCAGGGAAACTACATACAGTTAATAAATAATCTATGCTTATATATGTCCATACAATGTGCATGTATCAGGTTGGTGCAAAAGTAACGGGCAAAACCGCAATTACTTTTGCAAACCTCATATACAGTTTTTGCACGAAGAGCAGCAATGTATTATTTTTTGTGGGGTCATATTTGTTTTGAAAATACAGCTATATAGTTTCTGATCAGTTTTTTTTAAAAAGTCTCCCTGAATTAAGCATGTTTAGAAAGTCATTAGGGACTCACTCCAAAATGATATTCCAATGAATAATATCTAGAAGTCATTCTACACATTTATTTTCATTCATTCTCACAATCAACCCTGAAATTTGAACACTGATAATGCTATTTTGCAAGCTAAGTTCTCAGAAAGCTTATGTTCCTTGTCTGAAGTCCAATGGCAGAGCTAGAATCCAGATCTTTCTCTCAGTCTCTCTCTGTCTCTCTTCCTTTCTTGGTAGCCGTTTAAAATGTTATACAATGGTTCCCATGTAAAAATGTCTTATAATAAACACACCTGCAAAACCTGGTGTACTCATCACTCAGATTTAACAAATTTTAACATTTTGCCATATTTACTTCAGCTTTCTTTAAAGAAAGAAATGACACTATAGATACAGTCGAAGTCTCCTCTCTGAAGAAGCTCTGTTCTCATTCTTTTCCATCTTCTTTCTCTAGATGCAACCACCATGCTGCAGGCTGTGTGCAGTGACCAGTGCCACGTCTACATAGTCTTTCTTTCTTTCTTTTTTAGATACAGGGTCTTGCTATGTTGCCCAGATTGGAGTGCAGTGGCTATTCACAGGTGCAATCATGGTGCTTTACAGCTTTGAACTCCAGGGCTCAAGTGACTCTCGCACCTTAACCTCCTAAGTAGCTGGGACTACAGGTGCACATCACTGTGCCCAGCCTTTTGCTTTCTTTTATACTGAAACTGCCATTCTATACACTGATTTTGTCATTCAACATTGTATTTCTGAGACCCATTTTTGTTGCTACATGAAGAACTAGTTCACCCATTTGAATGCCTACATAGCATTCTGCTGTAGGAACTTACTGATTTATTTATTTATTTATAATTTATTATATTAAATATGTTCATTCTTTTAAATTGGTTCCAGGATTTTGCTGTTATAAACCAAAGTTAATGTCTTGACATGACTTTCCATGAGAAGTACTTATCTATGAAAGTTTATCTGGGGGAATGTATACATGGAAGTGTATTTATTATGTTTTAGAGTATGTGCCTCCTCATCTTTAACAGATACTGATGAATTGCTTTGTAAAATTTTACTAATTTAGATTCCCAACAGCAGAATATGAGAATTCTAGTTGCTCCATATCCTCTCAGTATTACCAGTTTTTTTTTTTTTTTTTTTTTTTAAAGTCTATGCTGTTCTCATTCTTGTCCAAAGCACTTTGAAACAACATTTTGAAGTGGTAGAGAGTTAAGATACTGATTACATTAATTAGCCAGGATTCAAACCCAGGACCAACATCCATGCTCAAAATCAATCTGCAGTATTGGTACTTATTCCCAGTGGGGTGGGGGTACCATGAAGATATGCTATACTGCACACAATGTAGAGAAAAATGGTGAATATGTCCTACTTAAGTCACTACTTAAGAAAAAATACCCACTAAAGCAAAGGTCCTTATATTTGTAAACTTGATATTTCAAAACTGCATTCATGCATTATGTACCTATTCTGAGCTGTGTCCTGGAAGGGGATGGTGAACAAAATAGACATGGTCTGTTTAGCTTGCATGGAGCTTAGATTCTGTTAGGCAAGAAGAACATCAGCTGAAGAACCATGGAAGAAAATGCATTAACTGCAAGCTCTAGTGAATGCTATGAAGGAATGTTTTGGAGTAGGAATCAGAAAAATCTTTGCTGAGATTTGGAAGACCAGGAAGAGGTTAAAAGGCAGAAAGCTTGGAAGGAGCAAGTGTTTCAAGCAAAGGAAACAGCAAGTGCAAAGGTTCTGAGGGGGAGAAATAGGAAGAGTTTGGTTTATTAAGACAAAGAATATTTATATTGAATTCTGCTTGCTTTGTAAGCATTCTTGCATTTTATAGCTTTCTTTTATTAAACAGCCTTGCTGTGTTCTGTTGAAAAGCATTTCAAAATGTTTTATTCATCCAGAAATTTTTCCAAAAAGTATTTAGCATCTACTTTCTGTAGGCAAATGCCTGTACATAGGCCTAAGGTGGATATACATTAGGTACTCTGGTGGATACCCGTAAAGTCTCTACTCAGAGAGTGGAGAAACATCATATAAGTGGTAAGTATTAAAGAGATAAATGAGAACACAGTATACAGGAGCTGCTGGTGAATAGATAAAGAAAGGACAAAAGCTTTGGTGAAGGGTTCTGATTAAAGGCTTGGCTTGCAATCCCTGCTCCTCTGACCTAATCATATATAGTCAGAGCTTCATGGAACCCAAGCTGTGAAGAGGTTGAGGTCTAAAGGTCTATTGTATCAAGGGTATGGGAATCCAGTTGCTAAGAGTGTGGGATCTGGGGCTGGGCTGCCTGGGTATTATTACCACCTTGTCTTTAGACAAGTTTATTCAATATTTCTGTGCCCCAGTTCCCTTCTTTATGAAATGGAGTGTATTAGTCTGTTCTTACACTGCCAATAAAGACATTTCCAAGACTGGATAATTTGCAGAGGAAAGGGGTTTAATTGACTCACAGTTCCACCTGGCTGGGGAGGCTTCACAATCATGGCAGAAGGCTCATGAGGAGCAAAGTCACGTCTGACATGGTGGCCAGCAAGAGCTTGTGCAGGGGAACTCCCCATTATAAAACCATCAGATCTCATGAGACTTATTCACTATCATGAGAACAGCATGGCAAAGACACAGCCCCATGATTCAACTACCTCCCACTGGGTCCCTTCTATGATACATAGGGATTATGGGAGCTACATTTCAAGATGAGATTTGGGTGGGAACACAGTCAAACCATATCATGGGGTTAATAAGACTATCCACCTCATAGGATTGTTCTGAGGGTTAAGTGAGATAATTTCAATAAAGTGGTTAAAACAGTGTCTGGCATGTGGGAAGTGCTTAATGGATGGTAGCTATTGCCTGAGAGTCCATTCATGCAGCAAATATCAACTGGGCATTGACTATGCCAGGCATTGGATGAGGCATTGGAGATACAGGTATTAACAAAGTGGACAGATTCCCTTTTGCCATGGAGTTTATAGTACAATGAGGGAGACAGACAATAAATAAACACACACACAAATGCACAACAGAATGTCAGATGTGATACTAGGAAGAATAACACCAAGGGATGAGACAGATTCATGGGGTAGTAACTTTTAGATTAAAAGCAACATTTCAGTCCAATCAAGGATGAAGAGAAGGGAGGCGAGATGCTGTGGCTCATGCCTGTAATCCTAGCACTTTGGGAGGCCGAGGGTGGTGGATCGCTTGAGGTCAGGAGTTCCAGACCAGCCTGGCCAACATGGTGAAACCCCATCTCTACTAAAAATACAAAAATTAGCCAGATGCGGTGGTGGGTGCCTATAATCGCAGCTACTCGGGAGGCTGAGGCAGGAGAATCACTTGGATTAGGGAGGCGGAGGTTACAGTGAGCCGAGATCACACTACTGCACTCCAGCCTGGATTACAGAGTGACATTCTGTCTCAGAAAAAAAAAAAAAAAAAAAAGGAAAGGAAAAAAGAAGGGATCTAGGGATCTGTCATACAAATACTTGTGGGAAAAAGATTCTAGGCAGTGGGATTGGCAAGTGCAACAGCCTTGTGGTGAGAATCAGCTTGTTATATTCATAGAACAGAGAGACATGAGAATGATTTCCCATTTTAGAGATGAGGAAACCAAGGCTGGCATTTTTAGATAATTTGCTCAAAGTCACAAACAGAACAAGTAAGGGAGGCAGAGAAAAATGAAAATGGAGACCCCAGC